CTCCGACAGGAAAGAAGCCAGGAGTACGGATACAGCCGCTTCGCCTGCATTGACGCATGTAAAGCTGTCGCTCACAGGTATCAGTCCATTCGCCGGAAACTACCTTCTGGGTTCTTCAGTCTCAACGTACTCGATCTCCAGGCCTTTACAGCCGTGGTGCTGCTACTACTCATGTCCCACAGCTCTCCGTTGCCGGATTTCCAAATCTTTCAGATTGACAAATCTGGCATAGAGGGTGTAGTGGCCGAAGTTCTCCAGCTCATGGAAGAGAAGTCGGCTGAGGGCCCGGGGTCGGATTTTGCGCATCGTGGCGCTCACACAATTCGATGTCTCTGTGATCTTTTCAAGCAGGACGAGAATGGAGGCAATTCCGTAAATGAAATGACAGCCAACGTGCCACTCATAGGCAGAATTCGAGTTCGTCGCAATACGCAAACATCACAGAATCTCAACACGCAAAGCCAGGCATCATCGAACCAAGTACTGCAGGTTGCTGGCTGGAACCCTAAGGAGCAGTCTGTGCCTACCGCCTACAATCCTCAGCTGGATGCAGCAGCTTGCCTCCAGAACTCTGCCATGACTGCTCCCATAGTACCAGAGTTTCAGTGGGATCAATTGTTATGGTCAGTTGAGAACTCAAGCGAGAGCCTCTTTGACAACGCGATTTGGAGTGATGGATTTGGCCAACCTGCGATGTGGCAGAATATGTATTAGAACTTCTGATTTGATCAGGCGTAGGCACTGGCTATACTTGCAAGGAGCAACTTGCCCGTAAGACAGACCTAGCGCGTGGTCAAGCTAGGTGACGATATTAATCGGCACCTTAGCTATCTTGGAATTAATTGAATCAATGTAATTCGCACGCAAGCTGCTTGCGGCCCAAATCCCGGCTCATTGAATCCGTGAACGAAGTCTTAACTAACTACAACGAAAGATGAAAACTCACGCTATCCTAATAAATCCAAATTGATTCTCAAGCCTAGAACTCCTCTCAAGTAATTAACAGTCGAATGAACTTTGATTGTTGGTGTTAATCAACTAAGATATTGAAGATGTCGTCTCAGAACGGGGCTTACTTTCTTCCTGCTCAGAAGACCCCATACCTCGCCAACGACCCCACGATCGGGCAATACATCAATCAGCCAACCCCATTTTGGTTTCTGGTACCATATGCGGGTATGTGACCGGTACGAGCCGAGTGTTGGAGTTTATAGCAACCTCAACCTTGTCAACTTTGGGCTGGAAGCCATTCTTAAAAGTAACGTCGTCGATCTACGGGATCTCGCAGCTAACAGCGTTGGGAGTTTTCGGATTGGTTGCATAGTTAAGACATATCACGGCATGATGTTAACGCTCTAAGTCGGATGTGCTACCCGAGCGAGATGTCGTGGTGATAATAGCGGAACTTTCTCAAACTGTCCTTAATGCGAGGGGGTCCGGGCGATGAACCAGGCTGTCTATCCAAGGATTGTCTTCAATAGGGGAATCTTAGGTAAGGAATGGTCTGATGTCCTGTCCAGAGGATTTATGTTAATATCCACGGGTACACAATATGGATGTCTACTTTGCCAGTTAGATAGTATCTACTCAATAGACCTGTTAATCTATTGATTTAAAAGTAGTTGGATTGTATGCTAACTCGATATTAGGTGGCCGATGAAGATTGTTTCTTCTTGGCCGTCCCACTGTCTTGTCTTTTCAGTGTACAAGTAAAGGGACAGGTTTGTCTATCAGCGATAAATCAAGCGAGTCTTGCTCAATCTCCCATCGGCTCCAAAGTTTCCAATTGTGACAAAATTGTTACTATCTCGACAGATACGCCCGCCCCATTGGCTCGCAAGCCCATGCATCAAGGTCTGTATCTTCTTTATTTCAAAGGGCAGATTTCGCGCCGGTCCTATACCGTAGTCTGTTGTTTTAATATTTGATGCGATGAAAGCTTGAGTTCTTTTCCAAGAAATATTCTGCGAAAGTGTACTTCGCGTTACGTCCCTGATGCTAGACTGATCAATCAGTGTAGACTCCTAGTGAGTCGGTGCAGGTACAGAAACGGATAATATACCGCTTAGATGAGAAAGTGAAGAGATAGCAGACGCAGCGGATATAGACATGGGTAAAACCACCAAGCTGATTCAAACTAGCTTAGTTCGGAGAGTAAAGGCACTGCTAAGATTATGTAATATTGTCATGTTCGACTCTTGTCCCTTCTGGCTGCGGCACGGTCATTGCTTGTGGAAAAGCAGACACGCCCTACATCTGAGGCACGACCTTACGCAAGGACACTACAGTATCATTCAGACGACAATAAAGAGACGGCTACAGTGAAGTTGGTTAAACCTTGAATGCGCATGTGCACCCCTAGTCACATTATCCTCTGGCAGATCACATTTGCAGTCTGATTAAAATGCAACGTTGCGCTCGATCGACAAGTCCCCGCATATAGTCAGGGGTAGGCATTCCATCATTAACCCATGCGTTGATCAAAGCCATTTATTTCCGAATTTCATGCCGCCCAAACAAAGAGCCAGTCAGGCGGCGCGTGGTCTTCTAAGCTAGGTGACATGAAACAAATACTAAACGGCAACGCCCTGGCGATTGCATTTTCCACGACTGAGCTTCCCCGTGAAGGGGAAAGTCCCTGCTGCCAATCGCCACGTGCCTGGCCAGGATCGATCCCAGCATCACAAGATCCAGGGTTTATGGAAATGAGGATATGTCTCTTGCCCTCGTCTACCACATCGTATCATGAGTTCTAATGAAACATCAGAAACAAGGACGTTTGTCAATGCCCCGGCTATGCAACTGCCAATTAGAAACCATCCTTAACCAGCAGGTTTCGCTTCAAGTGGAAGCTTCTGAGGGATTGATATTGAATGCACTGGTCACGGAGCTATGAAGGGCAGGTCGAAATCTCCTGACCACGGTTTTACCTGCATGAACTCATCCTACAACGTCGAGTGACAACCCCATATTGGCTCACGTGGAACGAATAGCAGCTGGCTTTGCTTTCGAGGTAGGATCTGGATTAGGAGATGTGGATTAGGAGACAAAGACACAGAACCACAAGATGCGCGCTGAAATCAACCAGCAAGAAGGCTCAATACAAATATGCTATGTCTGCCTTAGTCCTTTGCAACTGTTCATATAACTTTTGCTCTATCACACTAGCCGATCACCGTCACAGAGATCCGTCACCTTCTTGAACAGACCAGACAAAAGAAACATCTTAATCCTTTCCAATCTTTGAAGCCAATATGAAAGTCTCTAGTGGGGTGCATGCTTGTCTCCTTGGCGTTCTTGCCCACCATGTTGCGCAATCATGGGCCCTATCAGGAGAGGCGAAAGCAATGGTTGAAGACTCTATGGAGTGGATGGATAAGTTCTACGACCCCAAGATCTCACAGCTATATGACCTCAACTCGAATGCCGCAATGAACCACGAGACACTGGCTTCTACATGGTATGCGGTCGGACTTCTTGCACGAAACGGCGACGGCGATGCCTCAAGGGCTGAGGATGTCATAAGATACGTCATCAAGGACCAGCACGACAACCCCAAAGATTTGTGGTATGGCGACTATACGCGAGAACCAGAGGAGCCAACGGTTGGAACACCATGGTACCCTGCCCGCATGTACGGATCGTGGGACCCGAACTGGCGTGGCTTCGTCGGTCTCAGCTTCATCACGATATACGAAGAGTTCGGTGATCTGTTGTCTGACGATTTGAAGGGGCTTATGCTGGACAGTCTATATAACTGCAGCATTGGCGACTCATACCGCGAGGGTGGTGTCAACGGAGACAACCTCTATCCATCTTACAGCAACCCTGCAATCATGCGTGCAATCGGGACAAGCTGGACTGGTCGCCAGATAGGCGATGACAATATGACACAGGCTGGAGAGGATTATGCGAAGGACATCATCGACCTCTTTGATTTGCATGATACACTTTCTGAATTCAACTCAGCAACATACACCGGCATTTCACTCTTTGGTCTTACACTATGGTGTAAGTATGGCCATGAGGATAGTATTCTCTCCCAAAGAGGTCCAGATCTCCTGCGCGGCGTCTGGAATTACACATCGCAACTGTGGAATCCGGCGATGCGGAACCTCGCTGGTCCATGGGACCGCGCATACACGTTCGACATGACCGAGTCTCTCGGCATCCTATCTCACTTTCTCGCACCCATTATCGGGAGAAAGGAGGCTGGTGTATGGCAGTACCCGGAAGTCATGAGCCATGCCCGTGACTGGGCTTGGGCGCCACTCATCGCCGTCCACTCAGAATTCCACAACTCATTACTTTCGGATGATCTTAAGGAGTCACTGAAGACATTTGATGGAGAGAGGACGTACAATGGAAAGGCCTACTATCCGCCCTACGACCTTGATACCCGCAATATCACGACGTGGCTCAGCGAGTCGCTGATGATCGGAGCTCAGTCGTATCGGACGCAGAGCGCAAACGGACCGTCGAACAACAAAGGCCAGTTCCATCCCGCTGTTGCACATTGGGCTTATGGAGATGATAGCATCGGATGGCTCAGTGTAAGTTCATACCCTTCGGAATTCACACCTGCCTTTACTAACACAGCACCCAGCTCCGTCCTACTGAGGCCCACGTCCTGATGGAAGTCTCACCAAAGAAGCTGAAAGTGACTTATCCTGAGGGGACCAGCAGTTCAGTGTTCACTTTTGTGGCCTCTCCCTCACTCGCGAAGAGGGATGTCCAGTCTTGGGCTGACATTCAAGGCATTACGATATCTGTCTCTGGAAATGCAAGTCCCGTGCCAAAGGTCACATTCGCTGGCCGATATGGTGGTTCGGGAAGTCCGATTTACGACCACAATCATTGGAGTTTGGTCCACACGATGCCTGCTGAATTTGAGGGCGCCCCTGAGATTATCATTGAGTTCGAATGAGACGTAAACCTGGTTCAAGACCAACAAGAGGCTTTTGCGTCAAACATCAGTCATGTAATCAGAACGTAGAACCCTATTGTATACACATGTTTAATCGAATTCAGCCATTATCAATTTGCAGTTCAAGAAAACCCTTCGCTTAGAAGTATCACGCAAGTAAGCCTCCTATAATCAAAGCGGCAAGAGTTATAATGAAAGCAGCCGATCCAGGCTGTAGAGAGGCGGAATCGTTATCATCATCGTCATTGCCAGCGCCGGATTCAGATCCATTCCCTCCACTCGAACCTGATCCGCTCTCCTGGCTCAACACAAAGACCTCGCCCGTCTTGTCGGAACTGAACCACAGTCGGCCTTTAGAGTCCCACGCCAGACCAACGGGGCGGAAGCATTCATCCGGACACTTTGAGAGATCTTTGTTGTAGATGATGGGTGTAGTGGCGTTTGTGCTTCGTGAAGAAGATGCAGGGCGGCCGTTTTGGAAATCTACGTACGAGACTCTGTAGCCAACTGGCGGATTACGGTTCCCTGAGGGTTTCAGAAGTGGACTAGGTCAGGGGTTAGGCAAGGGGATCTTACAGCTTCCGTGGAAAGATATATAGGCTCTTGTGCCATTCTCGTTAAACTTCAGGTCTAGAGGCGCGGTATGGGCTTGGAATGCAAGTACTGGGGCAACATAGTCGGACTTGCATTCCGCGTCAGTAAGGGCGGTAGCTTTATCACCGTCAGCCTGACGATCAGCTGGAAATTGATCGCCTATTTTGAGGTCGCCGAGATCTGGGAAGTTATCCGTGGACCAGAGAGTATAGCAAAGAGGGTAGCCGTAGTTACCGCCCTGATCATCAGAGCCATTGAGATAGCCGTGGAAGTTCATCTCCTCGCCTGGGTTGTCCTTGTGGATATCTTTGCCGTCACGATGTAGTTCATCGGCTGAATTCTCAACGCTGAAAATGCCGCCTGTCTCCGGATGCTCTGCCACGCCGACAGAATTGCGCAGACCCCAGCCGATAATCACGCCGTCAAGGTAATCGTACGGTTTTTTATCGGAATTGCTGCCGAAAGACGAGATGTTAAAAGCACGAATCTGAGAGCGGCCAGAGTCACGGTCTTCAGCCCCTGCGTCATCATTCCCATCGCTGCCGCGGGACACGAGCAGCATATCTGGATGTTTCTGCGAGATAAGCAGGGTCCGTGAGGTGTGACCTCCATTAGTCATATTGGAGACTAGAGTCTGGACGGAAGAGTTTCTGAGGGTCACTTTAGATGGGTCATAGGGCCACGCAAAGACCTCATCGGATGTGGAAGCGTAGAGTGTACGTCCATCTCTGGAGAGGGCGATGCCATGGTTTAGCTAGTACAGTATATTACTTAGTTGAGGTCAAGAGATGGAAGGTCCGGGATCTGAGTAGCTTACATTATCCTTCTTTAGTAGAGTGGTCTTCTTCCTGACTTGCAGGCAGGTTCCTCCTTCATCGTCGAGTTCGAAATGGATTATACCATTTCCAGAGTCTATAACAATAAGAGCACCCTCGCTATCGAATAAAATACCTCGAGGTCGTCTGAGCTCATTGGCAATAATACCGTAGCTCCAGTTGTCTTCGGTAACGGGTGCAGGATAAGAGGTTTTGAGGGTCTTGAGGTTGCACTGTTGGGCTGAAGCGATGACGATGAGGAGCGTTATGGTGGCGAGGAGGTGGATGGACGCCATCGCAAAACGCGGGGTATGAATGACGTCGGGATCAGAAGGTGGATTAGACCAGGGTTGATGGATGTAACCGAACTATGGGGATGTTGAAAGGAGTATATATATATACCCCGGGTATGGGTATTGAAAAGCGTGAAGTATGAATGAGGGTTAAACAGGATGATGGAGGAAGTAGTTGGAACAAATGACCAAGAGTCGGAAGCGGTCATTAACGACCTTGGCCAAGAAAATTGCATGACTTCATCATCCAATGAGACAGAAGGCAAGGGGCCTAGAAATTTTAGGCTAAAGCAGGCCGATCCTGGCAAATGCTACCAACTACCTTACCCTAGATCCTCTTTATTCAATTGTTGGGGGAAGCCAACGGCAAGTCCCCTCTGGAAGGCATCATCTGGGGATGCGGCCATGAAAAACATGCGCTATGCAGAAAAGACTTTCTGTTTAACTTATCTACAGGATAATTAACAGTTTTGCAGACTCTTAATTTAATATGCATGATTATACCCGCATCCCTCAGCATACATACGTTACAAGTAGTCCAAAAGTACTATATAATGTCTTGAATGGAAGTTGACACTTGTGGTTGTAAGTACATAAATAAATAACTTGCAGCTTAAAGATACTTCCTTGAAGTGTTTAAAAAGATGAAGGCTAGGGGACAAAACCAGGCCATTTAAGATGGCTATGACTTATCTCTTGATAGTCCGTCTAATTTAAACTGGTTTGTTGGTGTCAGGAATGCACCAATGAGCGGAATGTGGTTACTACGTTACAGAGAAAAGTCGAATCTCCCTCTGCCCTCCAGCAGGCTCAAGACATTATGCCAAGAAAATCATGAGTGCAGGCGTCTGTAGCCTTGAATACACCCGCCTCCATCCTGGCGGCTTCTGGAGACGTTCAGGCAATCCATTACAGCAACAAGTAAGGGAAACCATGAGGGGGGCTGTAAACCCTACAATCCCAGGCTCGAGGAATAATGAGATTGTGATATTCTCAGAACTTTCGAGACAATCAGGGCCTACACATCTGCTTTACATATCAGCTTATCGAGTTCTGGTTCGCAAACGCCCTGGAATTGGAGAGTTTACGATGCCCTGCAAACGAGGGGGGGCCAATAGATATTGTATAAGCAGAATAAATTAAGTAACGCTGATGGGTTTAAGCTAGGCATAGTAAATTTACCGACTAGCTGATTTTGTAAATTGATCTGACAGGTTTCTAGTCAGTCGATACAGTACTCTAGGGTGATTCTAGACCTTGGCGGCCATCTCCGCCATTTGGCCCTTAGTCTCGAATAACTCAAATTGCTGGCCCAAGTGGCCATAAACAAAATAATACGGAAGTTCGTTCCAGCTTCTAGGTGGAGTGAAACCATCCCGCATCAGGAAGCAGGAAAAAAAGTCCCTTGTCTGGTTCCCCACGGCACCTATTCCGATGCCGTGGTAGCCGGATTCTGGGCGGGTCATTGATAAGTAGCCCCATCGGGCGATGGATCTGGCAGGCACTGAGTGGCTGCAGCCAATGCCGACGTTCCTGAGTTCTAGCGTGTACGACATCTCGCACACAATGCTCGCGAGTTGCACGCGCATGGCACACAACATCCTGGCATACAACTGATAAGTAACGCTTATCGTCGCTTGGAGGTCTGACAACGACCAATAACAGGCATGGTGTGACAACAAAATAGGAATGGAAACAAGGCCAGTGGTATCGTACCCCATGAACGAGTGCGATAACTAGGTGGGCACGGGAGAAGCGGCAACTGCTATCGGTCGAATCTTCAATTGTGCGAACCGATGTGGGGTTCCCGGGATCTAGAAATACAGTATTAGAGCCTACTCGCTTTGCCTCTCTCGATGTCCATTTTACTCTGTGACCTGTGTTCTTTTCACCTCATCCACGTCTCCAGCTGTCGCCCACCTCTGGTTCAATCCGGATTCCTACAAAGCCAAGGACTCAGGCAGGCAGGCATGACATCTTACAATGAGAAGCTCAAGGGCGGGGACCACGAGCTGTCCCTCGAGTCAGGCAGCGGCGACATTCCGACGGTTCAAGACTTCACTGCGTCGTCTGGCTACGGACCCGGCGTCTTGGCAAGCCTCCGCCGCTTCGAGGCTCGCATGGACAAGGCTCTCGGGGTCGAGTCTGAGGCCATCGTACGCAAAACAGAAGAGGACAAGCGACCCGTACCATGGCACGAGGAGCTCAACATGGCCCTGATTTGGGCCTCCGGTACTATGGGCATCAGCTGTTTCGCCACTGGGTTCCTGGGCTGGGAGTTCGGCCTGAGCTTGAAGCAGAGTCTGCTCATCTACGTCTTTGCCTCTATCCTTGGTGGCTCGGTGTCTTCATACTGCGCTACCTTTGGCGCGGCAACCGGCCTACGTCAGGTTTCCGTCTCCCGTTACAGCTTCGGTTGGTATCCCAACAAGATCATTGCGTTCCTCAACGGCATTGAACAGCTGGGTTGGGCTTCTGTTGCCACCATCAGTGGCGGCCTGGCCCTTACCGCCGTCGCGGACGGCCACATATCTCTCGTTGTCGGCGTTATCATCATCGCCCTGGTTTCGCTCGCCATCAGCTTTTTGGGTCTCAAATACATCCTGATCTACGAGCGCTATGCCTGGTGCATCTACTTTATCGTGTTCATGATCATCTTCGGCATGGTGGGACCGTACGCCGACAGCAAGACCCCTGCCTCTAGTTCAGGCATAGATCTCTCGGGCAATGTGCTTTCTCTGATTGCCATCGTTTACGGCAGCTCCGCGTCGTGGGCGACGATGGCTTCAGACTACTATGCGCACTACCCAGCCAATACATCAAGGCTGAAAGTTTGGCTCTTGACCACGGCTGGTATTGGTATCCCTACAGCGATCGGCATGACTGCGGGAGCTACGGTTGCCAGTGCGCTTAACAATGTCGACGCCTGGAAGACTGCATACACAGACCCTCACCAGGGTCTTGGCTTCCTCATCAGAGACATGCTGCATCCTCGAGGCTTCGCCAAGTTGCTTCTCGTCCTGCTATCCTTCAGCGGCATCAACACCAACATCATGTCCCTCTACTCATCGGCCATTTCATTCCAACAGATGGCCACCCCGTGTGCCAAAGTTCCTCGGTTCGTCTGGACACTTGGTAATTTCGTAATTGTCATAGTTCTGGCTATCGTTGGTCGTCAAAAGCTCAACACATATCTGCAGGACTTCCTTAGCCTCCTGGGTTATTGGTGCACCAGCTACCTCGTCATCCTTTTCGAGGAACACACCATCTTCCGCAAGCGTGACTTCGCCAACTACGATCTTGAGGGCTGGAACGAACGGGAGAGGCTGCCACATGGCGTCGCTGCCTCCGTTGCCTTTCTTTTGGGTGTTGTTGCGTGGTGCATGGGAATGGTTGAGACCTGGTTCACTGGACCACTTGGCAAGTTGATTGGAACATACGGAGGCGATGTTGCAAATGAGTTAACCTTTGTGGTCACCGCGATCGTATACCCAGTTGCTCGATATTTTGAACTGAAGTACTTTGGCAAGTAGATTACAGTTATCAACATCCGTAATTAGTAGAATACAAATCTCTGACTGTTATATCGTCTATCCGTCCCTGAAAATTAGCATACTTGTCTTGATGGGATGTTTCCCCCTGCGTCATTATCGCGATACTCGGTGCTAGAGATGTCAGTTTTATTCAAGATGATCAACCCAATGCCTTGTAGCGTGGTTAGCTAGACAAGCCAATCGGAGGTCGCGCTTACTTGGTAGTTCCAACCCAACTACCAGAGTCTAATAATTTGCGATTGCGGGGTTTATTCTCTCCCTGCATGCCTGACTTGATTCCATTATTAATAAACACTCTGTATTAATGGCTCGCACGCAATGGTAACCGAAAAAAAGCGACGCTCTCGTTACACTTCCGTTGCTTGGTCTGTACCTTCTGCACGTCGTGGATATGTGCTACTGCTGACGAGGTGCGCCACAGCGAGAGATGCCAACAGCGCAAGACCAGATGCAGCGGCGAGCAACCATGTAATGGATGTCGTAAAGCCTACACAAGATGCCTCTATCCACGTGCGACACGTTATCGATCTTCCCGTTGTGTCTCGTACGTGTCACTCTGCAACCTTAGAGTCTGGACGCTTACCTCTCGCACTAGGGCAAAGGCGCCTCTCCAAGAGCCAGAGACTGTTCAGTCAGAGAAAGAAAGTTTGCAGGATGGCTCAGAAAGCCTGGATTCACTAGCGCAGAGCTGGCCCCTAGAGGCTCCAGGTTCGGAATTAACATATGATAATTTCGATGATTTCATACGTCTCACCGAGCGTCAGCTATTTCAAGCTGACCATCAAAGCAACAATTCCAGCGCAAACCCCTTCTCAGGGGGCTTCGTCTCCAGAGAATTGGACATGTTATGCATGCAGGGAAGAATTTCTCCGCGAGGAGCACTAGACTCTCTCGATCAAAGTTTCTGGCGTCGAGTTCTTGCAATCTATGAAGAGGAAGTCGGCATGATGTATCCCTTTCTTGACATCGATCAGCTGAGCCATGAGATAATCGGTGGAAAAACACGGTCCGGTTTCGAATGCCCGCCATCTAGTAGCCTCTATAGCGAAGGTGTTGGAAATATTGCCTTCCTCGTACTGGCGATTGTTTCAAGCTTCGAAGGCTCAAAGGCTGTAGAAATCGCGAGCCCCGTTGTTGAAGACGCTTTCGTTTCAACTATTCCCAAAATACACCTCCAGTCACCTGACTTGGGCGATTTGACGTTATTGGCTTTGACTGTAAGTGAATTCTTTCTGGCACGTTGTGCTTACATTAATCCGTCGTTCTTTCATAGTGCATCTTCTTCTTTCTTAATGATCGTGAGAAAGAGGCGTGGAGAACAATTGGTACAATCGTGAGACTTGTACACGAACAAAGCTCTCAAGAGGAAGAGGCCACCGCCGACAAGATTTCTGATACTTTCTTCTGGTCTCTATATACCTTGGATCGAAGATGGAGCTTTGGCACCGGACTGCCATTTGCAGTTCAAGACTCGGAAATCAACAGACCATCACTGCCAATGGTATGACCCCAAATACCGATGCTTAGTACATAATCTGAACAATGATACAGAACGACAGCAGCAGCCATTCATTAGCTTATCTCAAAGAGATGGTTTCATTTTGCGGCATAGCCTCAGATGTGCGAAGCTTCTTCTTCGGCACTATGGCACCCAGGCTCCAAGACTCTGGCTCAACTCAGGACTATCTGCAGTTCCGGGTTATTCAATGGCAGCAAAACCTGCCACGCCGATTGCAATTCCACGGCATTGACGACAAATTTAACGTGGCAACTGAGAAACGCGGAGACTATAAGCTACGATTAATGCTTTATCTGCGAGCTAATCAGATGAGAACAATTATTCTTCGCAAAGCAGCTAGTCGCTTCGGGTCTCACAACATCGACACATCAAACTTTCAAGTCATGATCCAGGTTGCTCGAGACTCGATACAGGTGTTGGCCAGACTGGCTAAGGAGACTGACATATATCATGCTCAACACAAGACGTTTAACCATTTTCTGGAGACAGCTTTGTCTTCGTTGCTTCTTGCTACCTGCTATGCCAGTCCCGATCAGAGCAAGTCTTGTCTCCCAGATGTGATTACTGCAACGCAGCTCATCCACCGACTGGCAAGGGAATCCTTGATCACGAGGCGTCTGAGGGATAAATTACAGACCATACGGGAAGCGACTGACGAACTGAGAACGCAGAGATACAGGGAAAACGGGGCGAGTTTCGGGCCAGTGCCTGATACAGGGACAATGAGAGTTTACCAGGGCTCTGGCTTCCCAGAAGCAGCACTTGCGACAAACTTCACAGGGGACCCCATCTCACTGAATGGTCTTCCAACGGCGTCCAATATCCCAATCGGTCTATTTGACTTAGATACTGCAGACACCACCTGGGCAGACACTGACCCGTCATTGTTTAACAACCTGAGCCATATTCTTGGTAACTGCGAAAACTTTACATTCTTCTAGCCAGTTTTATCATTGTATCATAGTGATAGATTTAAAACTATACATTCATTACTATGGTATATAATCGTGACACTCTCTCCTCCTCTGCTCCCGTCGGCACGGTCAGACGTGTCACTTATGACGGATCGGAACGGCAGTCTCTGTTGTCACATTAAGACTCAACAAGTCGGGCCGTGAATAGTGTCCCACCAGATCGAGATTCTGCTGCATCATGGCCCGGAATGAAAGGTCAACATCGACATATAGAATGCCCTCTTCTCCAGGTCCCAAAGGTTTGCACAGCTCAGAGCCATCAGGCCCGTAGATCATACTGAAACCACCACCTGGGGCTCTGGTGTAGTCAAACTTTTCTAACCCTGTCTTTGCCTTACTGTCTTCTGTCAGTACTTGGGAGCAGACCAAGACATAGCAGGCGCCTTCCATCGCCATGACCTGTGAGAATCTGTTGCAAGCAGGCGGCGTCAAGTGATACGGCCAAGGTTGGCCCTCCAAGGCATCCCAGCAAAGAGGCCAGCTGGACACCTGGATATCTAAGTTTTGAGAGTACTGGTAGTAGCGTAGTAGAGGCTGGGTGTGCTCCCAACAGTTCAACCCGCCGATGTTACCGAACGAGGAGGGTGTAACAGCTTTGACAGAATCGGCCTGCCCGTCTCCCCAGTATGCTCTCTCAACGTGGGTTGGCTTGATCTTTCGTCGATGAAGAACAATAGTACCGGTCTCATCGATAAAGGACTATACAGGGGTGAGTAACGTTTCACTAGCAGCGATAGAAGCAGACGACCTACCTGTGAAATATAGAGGGAGCCTTGATATCTTTCGCTGTATCCAAGCACAATGAACACCCCAGCTTCGCGAACAGCTGTTTTAATTTGTTCCATTTCCTCAGACTCCTTCTCCAGGGAATTCCTAAAGTACTCGCTCATAAATGCAGCATTGCTGACTGGCGAATTTGCCCAAATTGTCCTAGAAATACCTCATTAGTTGACCATCTTTGCTCCACGAGATCTAGACTTACCATGGGTAACCAGGGATAAAGATCTCGGGGAAACCAATGACATTGGCGCCCTTACCAGCAGCCTCTTGGATAAGTCCGATTGTTTTGGCAATGCTCCCTTTCAAGTCGTTCCAGCATGGTTCGGCCTGGATAGCAGCTACTTTGCATTTGGAAGGCATTGTGAAAATATTAATAAGAAGAAGAGAGGTTTGTTCTTGCTTGTACAGCGAATGGATTTTGACTGTTCATGGACGTATTTATGTGCAACATTTGCCCCCCTCTCTTATCTTGCCTACGATAAGCCATCAATTACAAATTCCCCCGCGGTATGACACCTGCGATGGATGTCGGAATCAACTCTATCAATCGATCTCATGCAGATCTCGGAATCAACCATAACACCGGGATCCTTATCTCATTCCGATGGTTCTCCTCCAATCACAATCAGGGTCGAGTAATTAACAAAGCCAAAGTCAGTTTAGCTTTACAACAAGCCTTCCCACCCTGACTCGTCCCGGTTGAGTCGACGCTTTTACCCCATAACAAATCTGGGGTCACGAGTGAGAAATTGCTAGCTACAATGACGTCCTCTTGTGGCACCGTGAAAGGGCCAGACCAAACTCTAGATTAGTGGTTTGGTTCTTTACCTCGTCGATTGGTTGTTCGGAATGAGATCTGCCTTAACAGTTGGTATCGATGGCCTAGTGTCGATAGAAGTCGTCGATATCGGAATGAGGTCTTTGCCATGGTTATTTGATATCTGATTAATCTAGCTGTGGGTAGTTAATACCCGGATTACGTGGTGGTATTGAGCTACATAGCTTGACTTGTACTAGACTTTGAGCGTATGGGTGCGGTCAAGGGCAGCTGAAGAAAACAAATGTGAAATTATAGCACATCCACTTAGATGTTAGTTCATCTTACGGTTCCTCTTCTCTCGTTCGATATTGTTTATCTGGTTCAACAGATATCCGTCCTGGCAGGACGATTGTCACCGACTTACCAGACAACATGTGCTTTCTCGTCGAAGGCCAAGACCATTCGGGCATGTCTGCTAGAGAGAAGGATTTGTGTTTCGAGGAGTTTGACGAGCTAGTTACTGGCTGGATGGGCTACCCAGCAGAGGATACCACTGCCAACGGACTCTTCGATGTGCGGATGGGTCATGTCTCAGACTATGGAACCTTCAAAACTGGGACCCCAATCAACCTGAACCATAACAGGAAGATCGAGATGCTTTACTGGCAGGGCATGAGCAAGATTTAGCGGGTCGGCAGAATTCACAGAGGCCACGTCAAGATTCGAAAGCGGTGGATGGAGATCTATGGACCTGATGGAGAGATGGGTGATGGTAAAGACTAAAATAATAGTAGGTAATTAAGGATAAAGGTATATAATATAAATAAGCTTAATATACTTCATTAAGATAATGAAGTGTTTTTTTAGTTATTTTTTATTTAATTTAATAGTTTTAAACTAGGATAAATAAGAGTAATTAATTAGAGATAAAAGTAGGTAATAATAAACATAATAAAACACTATTATTAGTATTTTATTTACTTAACTCTAATAATCTTCTAATTTCATACTTATCCTAATACTTTTATTTAATTAAATAGAATTTGATAAGCTTCTAGTTTATTCTCAAGTTACGTATATTATATTCCTAAACTTTAACTATTACTAGGGATCCTACTTCTCCCTTAGTAGTTTCAGTTTTGCTGGGATTCCATTGTGAGAAATTTATTGAACACCCTCCCATGCCATCATTCGTCGGGCTGTTGTGAAACCAGGTATAAGATGTCCATTGACAGCGTGGAGATTGTGTGCATCTTCGCGCACATTCCTCAAAGCTATTAACCTTATAATATTCATTTTCATTTGGAGGAAAATGTCCCTGATATTCATAGCAGTGGACTTGATATCTTGCTCCTCCGATGGTTCTGGTACCAGGTGTGCATTTGAAAGGGGCTTTCTTAGGTGGCTTCTTGCAGTTGCATAGCTTCTTCTTCTTGAGGCATGTCTTGCGTGTATCTGGGCCACAAGTCTCAAGCGAACCTTTACATTTTGCAAGGTTGCCGGTGCAGGTCCCAAGCTTACTAGGGCAATTTTCGTCATAGTCCCTGAGCTTCGTCTCACAGCTTCCAAGCTTGCTCGGACAACTTGTATCGCAGTTTCTGAGGCTGCTCTGGCATGCTCCCAGCTTTCCTGGGCAAGATGTGTCGCAGTTCTTGAGATCATTCCGACATTTGTTCAGCTCGTTTGACGCCTCCGAAGAGTCGACCCAAACAAAGGCTACACTTCCCGCTTCGCCTTGGATCAACCTGAGCTCACAAGAGCCCCATTGGCCGGGTGGTGTTGGAGTTTGCCAATATGAGTCAACACAGCCCAGCTGACCACTGCATTGTGCAGCGCAGGCGGAAGGGATCTTTGTAAAGGCTGAAGCGCCGACGATGGCTGAGTCGCAGTGGACTCTAAATTCCTTGCCCTGGAAATTAACCACCTTCTTGTCAAAAGATGGGCTCCTGCAACAGGCGTCGTACGACCCTGTGGTGTTGCATGATTGGGCGGTGATGAGGGTGCATAGAAAGGCCAGACAGGCCAGATAGAAGACAAAGGAGGAATGAGACATAATCCTCGATAGGGTGAGAAAGAATTCTTATTAGGATGTGCAGTAAGTCAAAGGAACGAGTGCTTTGTCTGTTCTATTAATTGAGAATAGCAGATGTGAGATAGCACATTGCTTAGCTATATGACGGTAAGCGGGAATGAGGGGTGTGAGGAAAGGCCCGTGCAAGGTTGTATTGAAAATTTCGAGGCAGATAACTATCCCGACTGTCAGCTAGCCACGAGTATGCAGCTGGGAAGGGAATATGCACGCTCAATCACATTGATACTATATTGAAACCTTGGTCAGGGTATCTCAAATCCTCAGATGACACCTCTTGGTAATGGCCGAGGCTTTTGCAGGGATACCATGCAGGAATCCAGCTCCGCCACAACCAATATTACCCGTAGATCTTTCCTATCTATGCACTTCGTCAATTCGACCATGTCTGCAGCGTAATCACGCGCATATCGGTTACGGCGCAGTTACCATTATCAGCTGCAGTCTTCAACGAGATTATTGCTGTTTTCGTGCATGCGCAGTCGTTTAATTTAGTAGACGCGGTAGCCACTATTCATCATCACAGCCTTCTGGCCGCTCCGACTGGCTGGTTCTTGGCTAGCTCTTTGTAGCACCTCCCGGTCTTGTACGATGTTGCATTGTTTTTTCAGCTGCTCTTGACCCTCAAGGTTCCTCCTCCTATGAACTCGCTTGTCATTTTTGCTAGCGACCAGCGCATTACAACGTCTGACAGCAGCTGAGGAGTTGTTCGCGCTGAGCTAGCTGCCTGCAGTGTGCTCAGTAGGCTATCCTCGGCATATAGCATCTAATACACTGCCCTTCCAGTCAATCTTATAATAAATATATTCCTTCCGGTTGGGTGATTTGCACCCATTTTCAACCTCCCCTTCAACCTTGTTGTCACTATGCTTCTTTCATCTCGGCTCTTCATGGCCAAAAGTCATGTTTGGCTCATTTTGGTGGCCCTATTCGTTTCTTCGGCTCAGGCTCAAGAGGCTCAACAGCCACTGTCAAATCAGGCAGAGACCCTTCCTGGCGTACAACCAATTAAGAACGTTTGCAGCACTGTCTGTGATCAGATCACTCTCGACGATGTTCTTCCTTCTCTTGATTCTAAGGGCGAGGTGAAATGTTGTCCAGCAGGCACCTCCTTTAACGGCACAACTTGTGTTCTAAAGCCCACGACAGTGTGCCCTCCCAACACCAAACTTCAAGCAGGAGCCTGTGTATCCGATCAAAGGCCTGTATGTCCGGAAAATACGCTTTTGCAGGAGGACAAATGTGTCTCAACCACCGAGCCCATCTGCTTGTCTGATGGGTCGCGTTTCGATGGCCATAATTGCATATCCACGCAGCTTCCCTCCTGTGCTGCTGGGCTTAAATTCGATGGCGCTTCCTGTATCTCTATTGAGCGTCAAGTTTGCCCAGCGGGATTTACAGTGGTTGAGAACTTGTGTGTGCACAACTTACCAGCAACCTGCCCGAGCGGCGAGAAACTGGAGGCCGGATCCTGCACCCATTCCCAGCTACCTTCATGTCCTGCTTCAATGGCACTTGAAGACGGTCTCTGCATACAGAAGCAGCCTCCATCGTGCCCAGTCGGCTTTTTGTTCAGTGAGCAGAGCAAGAGTTGCTCTCACCAGGAGAGGCCTTCTTGTCCCGCTGGCTCAACATTTGGAGGGCGTGTCTGTATCTCAGCCACGCCACCTCAGTGCAAACAAGGCCAATTCAACGGATGGGCATGCCAGGCCCCTGAGAACCCACTATGTGTCTCGGGAGCCAGCTTGATAGACGGGATCTGTGTGATTCCTTTTGCTTGTCCTCCTGGGGTTACCAAGGCTCGAGACCCCATATCAGGCGGCGAACAATGTTGCCTAGTTGGGATGACCTGGGACGAAAGCAAGAAGCTATGTTTGAGTGCATCTACCGGCTCATCCTCTTGTCCCCAGGGAAGCACGATCCAAGACGGCCAATGCATCTACACGCCAGGACAAGTGAGATGCCCAGCGGGATTCACGTTCAACGGCCGGGTATGCGCGTTTAACAAACCACCGGCGTGTCCACCAGGAGCCATTCTCAATCGGGGAGTCTGTACACTCCAAGAGACACCATCATGTCAAGGGGGTGCTTTCAATGGGACAGCCTGTGTCTTACCTCAAGGTCCTAGTTGTCCCGACAAGTCTACTTTCTCAGGCGATAACTGCGTCTCTATAGTGGCGCCGACCTGCCCAGATCAGATGATTCTCCGTGGGGATGCATGTATCTTGACGAGTCCTCCAGTCTGTCCTCCGGGATCAAGCCCTGCTGGAGGAAATGTCTGTGTGACTATCAGCACGCCCATGTGTGTCACAGGCACACTCAAGGACGGCAAGTGTATTGCTAGCACGGGGCCAGGTTGCCCAGGCCAGACTGTCTTTGATGGTACAAGCTGCGTTTCCCAGAACCCTCCGAGCTGCGAACCGACTTTCACTTTCAATGGAACAGCGTGTATCTCCCATGTTCTTCCAGTCTGCCCTACAAACACCGTCTTTGACGGGAAGTCTTGTCTCCACAACCAGCCTCCAACATGCCCTCCAGAAACCCACCTCCAGGGGAGCAGCTGTGTCAGCCAAGCGGCACCTGACTGTCCTACTGGCTTTGTTTTCTCTCCTCAAGGCTGCATATGGGGGAAGCTGCCAGAGTGCCCAAGTGACATGAGCTTACAGGGGCAGAAATGCGTCTCGGAGAAGCTACCCGTCTGTCTTTCAGGTGCGCAGCTCAGCAACGGATCCTGCATATCTATCAATGGCCCTACATGTCCTCCTGGTAGCCAATTGCGTCCCGAGGGTTGCGTCACCGTCACCGTTCCTTCATGTCCTCATGGCTCCATGCTTAAGGATAATAAGTGTGTCTCTAGCCACGGGCCAACATGTATTCTTCCACTTGTCGTCTCGGGCGATAAGTGTATATCTCCTGACCCGCCTGTTTGTCCTACTGGCACAGTTTTCTCCCACGGGAAGTGCAATCTGTCCCCGGGTACTGGGTGCTACAGTATGCAGTATTGTCCCCCATTGTGAGCACTTATTAGTGTTAGTGTTCTTCGCCTCTTGCAATTATGAGGGGACGGTTAAGGGCAATTCCTCTCGGAAGCGAGAGCACTCAGGTACTGAAATATCGGCTTTCCATTGTAACGAGTAACTCTATAATATATAACTTCGTGAACGGGAAAAGATTTATACCCCCGCTCTCTAGTTTCTTATGTCGTAATTCTTCTCCCAGCACAAAGCCCTATCCGAATACAATCGCTCATCGAATAGAACGTGAAGTACACGATTGGATTTCCATGTTGGTATATTCCGCTTTGTACAGCTCCAGCTAACATAAGTAAGCATTCAAGCGCTGACATCTGCGAGAACGGTGCTTCCGGTTTATTTACTGGTTTTCCTACCCGACGATCACTTATCATATGCCTAATACAGGCCGAAAGCAACATTAAACTTTCCATCAGTAGGTTAGCATCGCATTTCAGCTTCCCTTGCCTCCAATAAACTGCTCATATTCGCAAGCGCGTGATCACCGTACAGGCCCAATTTCATGTGGCCCGGGTGCTCCGGAACAAGGCAGCAAGCCAGCCTGCTACTTGATAACATCGTGTTTACTCCTCGGCCATCCCAAAACGGTTTTTGTGGCGGGCTGATGATATGCCTTTTTGGAATCAGACCACTCGGGAACCCCGCCTCACTTACTAACGGAGGGCTTTAATTCGTTAATCATCATGCAAGACAGTGGCAAGGGCATAGCTGAACTCGCTTTCTGGGGCCTGTACAGGTGAGGTGTGATATACCATGCATAGACGCTAGGCTAGAGGGGCACTGTCACAAGCCCTGTGTGTCGACTAACTGCATGCCTATGCTTGTCTCCATATCTGTTTCCTTCAATTCTTCACTGCCTTGTTCTTCTTCATTCACGTTTCTTCTCGTTGGTTGAAGCCTCCTTTCTCGCCAGTTCGTCTATCGATGCAGTGATTGGGATACCTCAGCCATCTTATATCAGCATCCTCTGCACCCATTCTTGAAGGTCTGTTTCTTGACCTTTCAAGCCTGCTAGCTTACCTCAACTCGTCATCATGAGAACCAGATTTCTCTTGGGCATCACCCTCCCCATTCTTATATTGTCTTCCGACGCCACAGCTCAGCGGGGTTCTCAAATAAAATGTCCCAGCCTTCAGTCCAACGAGCATGTTTCGCGGATTCAATGCTTGCAGCACGACGGCTCTGTTATAGATGTTGAGGGCCTCGGTCTTTTCAACTGCAAACTCAGTTACTTTGCAATACGCCCGCGAACCATCAAAGCCAGCACCTACCAACAGGAAAAGCCCCATACTAAGGATGAGGCGCAATGTGAACTCTGGCTCATCCAGTTCACCGACCACGGCCTTGTTCAACGCAGCTGTTGCTGGGAGGAACTCAGCAATCGGGATTCCGGGACACAAGAGCACGAAGATCCAGATTTGGATTCACAGCAACAGCCTCTGAGGTCCGGTGAAGGAATAGAAGAACATATTCAGTATCTTAAGACAGAGGATGGGGTAACGGACAGGAAGGACCAGACAAAGGATGTGAAAGGGTATGCGTTTGAAGATGAATATGAAGACGAAAGCGAGGAATGGGATGGTGAAGAAGAATATAATTATGAAGATGAAGATGAAGAATATGAAGATGTGGCTGATGAGGAAGTGGAAGAAGAGGTAGAAGAAGACGACGACTATAGTAGTGATGAACATAATGGAGATGGTGAAGAAGAAAGTCAGCTCGGCCCAGAGGGTAGGCGTATCACTTCAAAAGAGCGAGATAGTCCCGAGAATCAAGAAACGGAGTTGTGACTTGCGGAATCCAACAGAGGATGAAGAAGAAATATATAGGGCAACTTGGAACACAATCGCAATTTAAAGCTATAGCGGCAGATACTAATGCTTTTCTTACTTATCCCTCTATATAAAAGTAAACCTACAACACTTGTTTAGCTATTAGCATATTCAACCATCTACTAAGAAATAAGACTCTTTAAGCATGCAATCTACTTCGATTTCTAACTATTAAGTAAACAGCCCTTTAACAACGGCTATCCACATATCTACAGTTAACCTCTCCCTCCCTACAACAAAGAATATGCCCACTACTTCTCACAAGACTTAACCAAGCACCTAATTAATTAGATCCTGGCCTTTCTATACAGATATACTCCCTCTATTCTATAGGCATGTCCTTTATGCCCTACGCCGCCGGCTAAGTATTTCATTTGCCTATCGAAGATCTCGGTTCTCAGCTGCAAGTAAGGCAACCTTATGCATAACTGCCTTAGTTCCTTTCTCAAGAGATCTCAAAGCTTCAAGAATTATTTCTAGGGAGCTACTATGATATCTTCTGATTCATCTCTAAAGGTATTAAGACTAAGATGCAGCCTATAAGGGCAGATCGAGAGTCTGAAGCAACTGCCAAGTACTGGTTACAAGTTGGAGAATGCGCTCGAAGATTATTCCTGTCCTTGAGCTTGTGTTGGCCCAAAACTTGCGTCTGTGACGTAAAGCACGTCGCTAGCCTTCCCCTTGATATCGTGGACATATCCCATATGCAGCTATACAAGGGCTTTGAGCCGAGGCTTGAGATCCTGTTTAGCTTCGAGTTCGATGGAACTTCGATTTCCCAGTCTCCATGGCCGTTGAAGTTCGTAGAGGTTGAGCCAAAGTTGGCCTGTATGCCGTAAGTTGATTCAAATTTTAAAAATATGCTCGTGTTTCTGTTGCACAAAAGCTTCTAAAAACAGATAAAGAGAATTCAGAAGGCCTGACTATACTTGCATTAGTTCCTTAATAGTCTCGCAACCGAACACCTATCCTCTATACACCACTCCCATCTGTTAAACGTCATCAAAACCCGCCATTAAAGTAGAATCACCTCGGAATATGATCTAGGTGCCTCCAATCTCGACACAGTTCACTGCAACTCCAATTCCGGATCCTTGCAGCAGTTTGTCACAAGTTACAGATTCATTGAAATGCCTAGGATTTCTTTGGGATAATACTTAGGACCACTTTCTGTATCTTATCAATCCTCGAGACGAGTTAAAGCGTGGGGATAGGTTCAGCTAGCTGGAACAAATCCTAAGCAACTCAGCGTTAATGGGAACAAAGACTAAGTACTACCGAAATCGTCTCAGTAGGAGCAATCTAACCAGTCTATCAGATCCAGGTTCAGACTCGCCGCCGCGTTGGCCTCAGCTGTATTGCAGTTCCATGCCACTCCATGGGTAAATGATAGATGGGACTCGACAGATATATGCTTCCTCAGAGATAGCAACAGAAAGATCCACACCAATCGCTCTTACGTTCCAAGCGCTTTGACCAGCATGAGTTGAACGCGTCCCCGTCAAAGCATCGGGACCCCTCAGTCTCCGATGAGATTACATTCGCACTTGGCGTCGCATTGATTGAGCTGTCATATGGCAAACGTTTGCTCTAGTTCCAAGAACCTGGTGATCTTGATGAGAATGGGAACGTGGATGCTTTAACGAGGCTTGAAATTGCTAAGCGATTAGTAGGAAAACTTGAGAAACCAGATGGGGGCAAATATGCAGATATAGCGGATTAATGCATTTGATGCAGGTTTAATACTAGATTAATAAGCCTTAGTAATCTTATATTTTTAGCACTCTTTTAAGATATAATAAAACCACTTTAAGAGGTTTATAATAGTAGTTAGTTATATTATAAATAAAAGTTAATTATTTTATTAAAAGTAAAATAAAGTAAATCTTTATAAACTCTTGGCATACAAATGTTAAGAAAGTGGTCCTGTCTACACCTAAATCCTTAACAAGTGCACAACAAACGACTTAAGCTGCGCTTTTCCCAGCCGCAAGCCGCGGCGATGGCCCCGTTTTCGACGAGCCCGCCCGCTGGGTCCGCATTGAAGCGTAAGTGATCTGCTGTATCTGATATGACGCGGTGATCCCCGCCCAGCTCTCTGCTACACCCGACTCCTTATGAAAGAACCTTTTCCACTTTTTGAAGATCGGGTGGTCTGCTGTCCCTACTGAGGATCGAGAATCGATGCCGGTAATCGTGTCGGTGGAAGGGACCAATTTCATGTTGCGTTGCAATTTCAGTGTCAGATAATGAGGAAATGACTATAGCCATTGTTGTTTAGGGACTTTACTTACGCCGGTGTTTTGGGGTAAAACTTGTGACTGAGAGTACTGAGTGCTTCTGGACCAAGAAAGTAAGGTAGATATTGCACCCCAATACCGGCGATGGACAAGCAAAGATCCTGAAACAATTCATTCTCTATCACCTAATTTTATGATTTCTGTAGTATGGTGTGAAACCGTTTGACCCATGTATGTCTAGGACAGATAATCGCATGAGGATCTCGAAGCCCAGCATCAGTACTTTACATGGAGCCACTTATACTCAATGGAGGCGATTGTCCCTGACACCATCAGCAGAGGCACCATGCTGCATCTTGAAATCGGCTCTGGAAACATCGGTGAAGCATAGATTCTTATTGCTCTTTCAATATTTTCGTCATCCTATCCATATAGGCTGCTACGTAGCGCAAAGTAAATGAAATCTCTAGACTTGTAATATCAAGCACAAACGTCCAAGAAACTCATCTCTTTAGGCTGCGGCTACTGGTACGGGTCTACCGTGACCCCCGCTAATATTGTTAACCTGTGTCAAAGTTTTTCTTTTTATTTCTTTTGGGGAATTCTTTGTCTAACTATTAGATCATGGGTCCTCGGCGCTGGGACCATGAGCGGCCGCTTGGTCGAAGTTTAGAGGTAATCCCCGTCATTGCTGGGAGAAATGAGCGGGGACCGATGTATTGTAAAACTTTCGCGGCCGCGTCCCCAATCAACGCCGGTTACCTACAATGTGAACTTCCACTACCCACCCAAGCAATGCCAATACTCGCTAAGAACCGCACAACCAGTTACTCTCATATCTAACATAGAGGACACCATAATCTCCGCTCCCATTTGGGTAAGTAAAGCCCTCCTCAGTAGCTTACACAGTCGCTTAAAATAATACAAACTACTCTGCAACTGAAATTAAGGACATACAGCCAAGTATAAAGACCTGCAAAAGGAAGAAAAAATCAACTTCTATCGATAAGTCGGACTCGACGTACAGAGTCCATAGACATAACGCATATATGCCAAAGCCAAAACGCAAAAGGGTTATGATGTATTTCTTTCCCTGTTTAAATAGGAGAGATAATCAACATAAGATACTGGACATATAGTAATTGCTTTGTTTCTACCTTGTTTAACATGATTCTATAGCTCTCAATTCATCTGCTGTCTGCAGACCTAAAAGCAGCTACTAAGTAAGAAGCTTGGTGCGCTCCTGACCCCCATTTATTTTATCCCCCCCCCGCCCTCATATCAATGTAGTGGTTTACGTTGTCAACAGTGAACATAGAATCACACTATTCGCCTTGTTTCTCTACATTGTCTTCCACTTTTCTCTTCTGCTTACCTCTTATCTTGCCGTTCTGCCGCATCCCCGTCTCGTCTCTTGTGGGCCTTTCTTATCGTACCTGGCCATTCTCCTTCTTCGTATGTGCTGCCTCTTGTTTGCATCTTTGCAAAATTTTCTATGCTTCCTGTTGCTTATGTTTCTGACTATTTCTAAATCTCTTAAAGTTTTCATTATGTCACTTCCAGCTCGCGGTTGGTAAGGTGTCTACAGAGTGATTTATCTTAATGAGCTTGTCGTACTGGGATTGCGTGTTACTGGCTTGTAGGATGCGGGAACTGGGCCTAAAGCTCCAGCTATTGTTATTTAGCCAGGTCGATTATCTTGCCTATTATCTGATGCTAGAACATAAAATGTATTTAATTTACTGACAGTGTCCTGAACTATCTACCGCCAGTTATCTCCAGATGAATCTAGAGGCCTCGTGAGTTAATATGGTTTGCTGAAAGATCCTTTGCAAATCTAACAACGGGATGGAAGTATGTTGCTGATTTAAAGTGATAAAATGTTAGTCTCCGGTTAGTGCGGGAGCAATGTTGTTTTATACAAAAGCACATTATGCCAATCAACTGTCTACCATGCACCTCCTCGAAAGAACACATATGTGATGTGAAAGTAGGAGACAAAAGACATCTGGATCTTCTGAGCGTGGAAACAACCGCATTACATTAAATCGTTAAATGATAGCACACTACGTGAAAAAAGCCACCTGCTTGATTTTGCGTCTAACTCTAAAGTAGGGGTGATGCACACTACCTTATCCTACAGCTAGACTATGCTCAGGCCGGATTATATCGGACAACTTTTCACGAAAACATCAGGCCCAGGGCGAAGTTACTAGGGGTGGATATGCTTGATATTGTATCCCAACTATTGAATTGCCTATCAAGACAGTAGTCCCATTCTAGAGCATGAGCTCGATCTAGAGGTATCAATCATAACCGGCATGAATTATCAGCAATCAGGGTGAGACCGTTGGCTTCGGCACTTGGGAATACTGCAGGGGCAGGTTATCCAGAGCTTCCTGTGGGTCTCTTTGGAAAGTTTCGCTTTTCTAGGGGGCCAAATGAAACTGGGAGCTAGCTACATGGCAAATAATCGGGTTTTGGCGTAAGCCAGTCCTGTGTTTTTCTTAATCCGGAGTCTTGACTATTACACAGAGTCAAAATACCAGGAGCTTGTATCGGCAGATTATATCGGCAGATCTAGCTTTCAGACTTTCCGACCCCAAAGAAGCCCAATGCAGTGGAAAGCGATCACTAGGATCTCAAATAGTAAGGCAGCTTTGAGAGGGGCCAGTATCCATGGTTCTGCGGTTTGGAGAGTAGCAAGGTTTGAATCCCACGACGCTTATGGAGAAGTGTACGGAGTAGGAAACCTCAAAACCAAAGGCAGACCCATAAAACAAAGTTCGGGTTGCTGAGGTTTTATTTTTATGGGTCGTCTCTTTAATCCACAGGGAAGGAACCCTTGTACCAACTGCCGCGATGGCTCCTATGCCTACTCTGGACTTGAACAGAACGATGATTGGCTGCATTAGACTTACAAGTGAAAACGGGCCCCATTCCCAAATGATCCCTAATAATTTGAGAAATGAGATGGATTTTGGGAACGGGCCCCATTTCTGAGGCGGTAGCTGACAAGGATGGTTAGGGATAGGTGATTGGTGCAGAAGCAGGAATGGGGCCGTTCCTGACTTGAATCAAAGGTAGGGGTCATGGGCATAGTGATGGGCCTCATTCTCCTCTGGACCATTTTTGGGTGGTCTTCGCACGGAAAGATTCACGCTTCTATTCATCATGAACAATAACTTTCGTTCCGTCTGGATCTCAACTCGCAGAGTTCTGACCACTTTTCAGAGCTTTGATCGTCGATATCACCGTGCAGGCTTACGTGATTGCTCCTCCGACCACCCGTTCGGCTCAACATGGTTCTTCTGCTGCCGGTGCCCAAGTCTTTGGCTAGTACATGAAATCCTGTTGTTGAAATAAGGGTGTTGCTTTTCCAATGTCCATGTTTACTGCCGCATTGCTCGTTACGGGACGGCAAGCACCCGACATTATTATTGAAGAGACCATGAACAACCAGCCCACTGTCTCAAAAGCAATTGTGACATCCTACATCTCAATCACTGTTCGCAGTACTATTTTGTCTTTGATCACACCGTTCTGCACTTCGCATATTGCTACCGCAGCCGCCGACCCGAGCTCGATTGCTCGTCAAATCGTATTGAATTCAGCATTGAAAACTAACTGATTTTCTTAGCAAAAGTCCAATGTTTAGTCTTGTCATTGACTATTGGGGTCTTGAACTAGGAGTCTGATTCCTTATGATTCTTATGGGCACCGTTGCCAAAGGTGGACCCTCACTTCTCTTAACGTCGGCTAGCTATGTCACTGCCTTTGCCGGAAATGGTGTTCGGCCGTTTCGTGAGACATTCTCCTGCATCTACCAACAACAAACGTGTCCGTCGCCACCATGGGCCTGCCTGTTGTCGGTGCTTTGTCCACCAGTTTCTCAAATTGTCGAACATGGCGAGGACAAGACTGACGTTGTCTCAACGCCAAATTTTAGAGAATGCACGGAAATGGTCATAAATCTTTGATAGCTAGAGAATGACGATCAAGGGCGTGTCTCACCAAGATCGAATCGTCCAGTCCATGCTAACGTCGAATATATATGTATGTGTGTAGGAGAATATCGTGCCAACGCTTTATCCACACCTTAGGTCCCCCTTACAACTTCAACATTGACAAGCTCTATATCACTCCCGCTTGCTGCCCTATCGCTCCAGCCATCTCCTATGCGCCGGGAGTTGCTGGAGTGAAAGGCCAGTTTCATGGACCCATCTTTATTGATTGATATGTCTTCTTCAATCTCCTCAAAACCGGCCTGGTTGTGTCTCCTGGCAGTGACCGTTCTAGTGTTCCTTGAAGATTCTCTATTGTTGTATTGCTCGGACGTTTCTCGGTTGCGACGGAGGAATGGTCGTAGGGCAGGAAGACAAGCGATAATCAACCCAATATTACTATCTAATGAGCTCCAAAGTTCTAAGGAAAGTCAGTAAAAGGTCGAGAAATGAGAATATTAGCGTGCTTGACAAACCAATTGTTGTGACGGATCTAAACTGGCCGACATTGCCAAGTTGCACGCTAAGGAAGCGCGTCAACGAAAAAGTAATATCGACTAAGCCAAGCAAAAAGACGCTGTAAACGCCAATCTTTATCTTTCTTTTCATCTGAACCTTGTAGACGATAAGCCAGGGCAAGGCAAAAACTAGATGAATACAGTTAGTATGGGTTAAAGGAATAAACAGAGCGGACCCTTCTCACGAGCAAGACTTCCAGCAAAATGCAAAGCCCATGCAATTTGAAAGATCCTGGCCAAGTCATCATCAGGGCAGAGCTTTTCTGGTTGGTTGATTGCCCTTGCACTGTATTAGTAGCGTATCAAGATGAGAGCATAGATGGCAGGAGAGTGTATGCGGTATAGACAGACTACATACCAGTTTCGCCATACAGGGAGGCATAAAAAGAGCTGCAGGGAAATTGTAACTATATATGCCGCCGCACAATAGGCAATTGTAATCCAGAGCAAGATTCTGCGTGTTTTCATAAATGTTGGGAAGAGTTGGAGATAGACGGCGAGCAGAGATGCCTTGCAAAGGTAAAATGTCGTAAGGAAAGGGAACATGGCTGCCCACGACAACTGAGAAGGGTTAGAAATACACATATACAATTGATGGAGCGGTTAGGGTCTATGGGGCCTGAGGTAGAAGATCGCCTGTGGAAAACGCTGGCTTACCCTTGCCACATAAATTTGAGCTTCCAATGGGGCATCCCAGTTCATTAAAGTATAATCAAGTTCGGGTCTCAGAGTATTATATTTGGCAACAAGCAGGCCAAATACAATAGTCATGAACGCCGAGAACCAAGCAGCTATTATCAGCAGGTCACTAAGAAGAAGTCGCTGTTTTTGGATAAAGAGACGTAGATAAATACGTGCGGCAATCAGAACAGCTGCAAGAGAGACAAGGGAATAGGTGACAGCCTATCAATGGTTAATTAGTTAATGTGACAACCTTAGCAGTGAAGGCCTTGAGTACTCACTGTCACAGCTTCTCCAGAAGGTGCTGAGACCATATCGACTACTTGCTATCGAAGATGATCAAGTGTAGACAACCGATAATCTGGATGATGGGAAGATAACGTGCTGGAGAAATCGAGCGTCTGAAAACCTCCCTTCATGGAGGTGGGGCGGGTGCGCTTAGTTATATGAAGGAAAGGGCTTGGTTGTCCCGTATCGCCACCCATCTATTTCACCTAGCAGGTACTCCTTTTTGTTTCTATGCATTCCCCCTCCCCTTTCTTGCTTTCTTTGTTATTCATTTGGATAGTCGAGAACATGAATTAACCTCAAGATCTGGTTCTGCCAACTGACAGTTATCGTCATTAATCATTCCTAAACTCCTGAATTCAGGAAAGCACATGCCAAAACCAGGCCGTACATCCTGTTGGTAAAAAGTCCGAGTTCCTGTCCTGCCGCATTTAGCATAAAGAGGCTGATTTAGTGGAGTAATAGTTCAAACTAAGATGAAGGGATTAGAGTTCAGCGAGTGGCAGCGCTAGCCTGCCGGGAAAAGTCTCCCGGATTGAGACACACCTACTTATAGCATCTCGCGATGGCAGGATCCTCGGGGTCGCCGATCTAAAAAGAAAACAGACTAGACTTTTATTAAACTAATTATTAATGTAATTCTACTTAATTAATCTATCTTACTTTTTAGTATCTGTTAAACCAGTTGGCCAAAAACAAGGTGTGCCACCTTTAGTTAGTGACTCTCTAGTTATTATAGTCTATCCCGGTTTAACATTACCCCCTAGCTTTAATGCTTTTGGGTTCAAGCTGCATTAGGCTTTTTCCCTTTTTGGCAATTTTGCTAGGTTCTTTGGGGTTTGAACTTATGACCTTTTAAGTAGTTATAGGCTTGCCTCTTTGGCTAACCTCTAAGACTCTTAATTATTAAACTATTATGCTAAAAACAAGGTATATTACCTTTAATTAGTAACTATCTAGTTATTATAATTTATCCTAGTTTAAAAGTATTTTATTACCTCTTTTTTAAGACTTCTTTTAGTTATTTAAAAGTTAAAATACCTATCTTATAATATATAAAGTAAAGCTAAAGGAATTCAAGTAAGATAATAAAATAAGGTATTTATTTTTAATATAATATAATATAAGGCATTATATGTTATATTAAAAAATATAATAACCTTAATATTAAGTCTTAGTAGATTATATAGTTATTACCTTAAACCTTAAGATTTAATTAAATAAGTAGCCTTAATTTCTAAGTATAAAAAAGATATTTCTCTTATCTTTAGCAGGCTAAATACTCTCTTTATTATTACCCTTTTAAAGTAATTACTACTAAGGCTTTAACTTTAAAAGGCTATATTAAAATAAGCTAAAAACCCTTACTTTTCTTATAAGATATATTATTATATAATTAATATTAATAATAATTAATCTAGCCCTAATTATCTAATTATAGTAATTAATTACTATATAATTAGTCCTTTAATAAAAATTAATAATATTATTATTAAAGAGATTTTAAGTTTATATTTCTTTTTTTATTATTATAAAATTATAAGTAAAAACCTATTATATAGTATTACGATCCTAGCGGTTATTGTTATGACCCTAGCGGTTACATCACGTGTACCCTACAAAAACTCATGTAAGGCATTAGCCCCTCAACGGTTACAGACTAATTAGAACTAGATCACCTTATAGATAGGATTACGATGCTCTAGGAATTACTATAATTTAGGATTACTATAATTTAACTGCCTTAGCAATCCTCTTAGATTACCTCTAGTATATAGACTATATTTATTAGCACTTTTATAGAACTTAGCTTACTAGCTATTAATAAGACTTTTTTATATTAATAAGCCTAATACGTATTACTTAATTATTAAGAGATATAATACCTAAACTGCTTAGTACTAATGCCCTATGCTATTTGTAAATATAAACCTAGTATAGATTAGTTTCCTTATTTAAAACTACCTTTATTATATATTAATAGCTCTTATTTAGAACATATTGCGTTAATGCCTAAGTAATATTATATTATTAAGATGTCTAGTAATACTAGCCTTATACCTCCTTATACTAGACTACTACCTAGTGCTGCAGAAATAATGGCCGAGTTTTAGCAGCTCTATGCTATCGTTAATACTTTATAAGCCTAGGTTAATAAATGCCCTAATATCGCCGCCCAGGGAGGTAATAATGAATAAGACTTAGGAGAGGCACTAAAGCCCCTTAAGCTGGAACCTTTTAGAGGATAGGCAGCTAATGTAGTCTTATTCCTAACCTGAATAAAGGCTTATTTTTGCCTATACTAAAATAAGCTGAACTTGCCTATAAAGAAACTACTATATACTGTAAGCCTTATCTAAGGAGAAGCTAAGGATTGGTTTAAACTTATCCTGAGGGACTTTCTTAAAAACGAAGAGGAGGCCTAAGACTAGGATACCTAAAATATATTTATGAACTAGGAGAACTTTGAAAAAGCCCTTAAGAATAATTTTAAAGTAGTTAATAAAGAATAATAAGCCGCGGCAGAATTACTTACGCTTAGATAGTATAAGTTATATGCAGCTTACTCTGCCAAATTCCGATAGCTCGCATCCAAGACCAAATAGGATAATGAAGCTCTGATAGAAATCTACTACAGAGGACTAAAAGAAGAAGTCAAGGATAAACTATACCTGGCAGATAGACCTGAAGATCTAACTATATATATTACCATGGCGATCAAGATCGATGAATAATAGTATGAATATAGAAGAGAGAGAGCCAGCTATAAATAAGGCAATGACTTTAACCCGTATTACCCTAACTAGCGATATAATAATAATAACTAGGGTAACTCTTGAAACCAAGGATAATGACGAGGAAACCGATAGAATAATACCTCGTATGGAATATAATTAGGACCTATAGTGCTCAGAGCTATGTAATAGATAAATAGAGGAGCAAGGAAGCCCTGAGATATATCTAAAATAAAATGTTATAATTGCAACTAGTTCAGATATATGGCTTATGGATGCCCTGAACTGCGTAAACCATGAGACCTAAACCAAGGTAAGCAGACCCTAGGACTAATTAGATAATAGGACCCTCAAATGGCTATGTGCACCTAGATGCTGGGAATAATATAAAGCGCATATAATATGGCCATAAAGACCGCCCTTTATGAGGAAGGTAAAATAACAGAATGGCATCTACACCCTAATAGCTTAATTAGAATACTATATAATAAGTTTTTAACAGAAAAAGATATAAAATTAGGAAACACCCTATAAATTCTAATGCCACATAAGATCAAGTCTAATAACTACCGAAGAGAAGCTAGGAAAGATCCAGTTTACTAAGCAGAGGAACAAAGGAAGTGGCAGGAAACTAATAAAAGAAGAAAAGAAGAAAAATAATAAGAACTTAGGGAACCTTAAACCCTTAGAGTTATTAGGGAAGGAAAGACAAGTACTTATAAAAAAGATAAATAAGCCTAAATATCTAAGGCAATAAATAATATACCTATAAAAATAATCACCTAGTAAGACGGATTAACCCTTACAGTGAACATAGAAAAAGGGTATATTGCTAAGTATAAAGCACTTAGATTCGCTAAATTAATACTACAAGAAAGAGAGGAAACAGTAAAAAGGGAATAAAAAGCAGAAACCAGAATATATACTTATTACCACTAATACTCCTAAAGTATAGGATATAGAGGAGGAGTAGTGCAACTAGCTATATAATACCTCTGTAAAGAAGACAAATAACTAGAAAGCAAGTAGAAATAAGCTTATAAGCTATTATGCGATAAAGTTAGAAAAAGAATATACCTATTACCTAAAGATAGGTATATACAGGGAGCCAAGGAATATAAAAATACTAAGGAAATTAAAGAAATATATATTAGGGCTTACTACTAATATAATACTATAAACCTATTATACTAGGAATAACAGTTTAATAAGAATAACAATATTAGAATACTACCTATAAACCTAAATCACAAGGATATCTTATAGGTATTATATAAGTACTACTAGTGTGAGCACCACCGATAGAATAAGGAAGATAACGACTGTTTCCTAGTAATAATACCTGGCATACCTAACGATAACCTATATTATAAATGGGAAATTAACAGGTACTTAGTGTACTATTGGCATAATAATCTTAGAGTTACTATGCTATAATTTAGCCTGGTATACTATAGATAAATCTAGAAGACTAAAGAACTACTAGAAGGCATTAGATACTCTTAACAGATAATTAAGAAAGCAGAAAAAGAATTCAACTTAATAACTAAAGGGAAGTACTAACTGACTAATTAATAGCGACTTAATAACTATCTAATATAAGAAGAAAAAATAGAGGAAGTTATAAAATAACTCAAAGAATGGGGAAAAGAATATTAGGAATGAATTAGTAATGGATAGTATGACCACCTGATGAAAGAACTATTAGTCGATAATATAAGTTTAGACACCACTAAAGAATTAGAAAGCCAGTGGGAAGCAGATGGACTATACCTATGTAGCGACCCTGTGGATCTCTAATGACTTAATGAAATTACGATTATAGAAGATATAGATAGTGATGAAATATTACTAGTAAGAAAATATATCTTTAAACTTATTAACCTTAGGGAAGGATTTAATTAGGTCTTAATTAATAATGAATAATCTAGATAAGGAATAATAACGGATAAATAAGATATAGAATTAGAAGAATATTTCTAATAGTAACTATTTAATAATGAGTTTATTAACGACTGCCTTAATAGAGAAGGGTGTAATAATAGTAAATGCAAATAGATATACTGAGATGTATTAGGAAAAGTTATATGCCATCTATAATAGAGCGTCAGATAAGCGAAGAGCAAGGATAAGAACGACTTAGATTAACAAATGCTCTAGGGTTATACAGAGAACTTACACTGAAATGCCTAGTACTAAAAGTTCGGATTAAGGGAAAGTGGCTAGATGCCTGGATTAACTGTGGAGCTAAATGAAATTTTATTAACCTAGAAGTAGTTATATGGCTAAAA